GCGCCCGCGCCCGCGCCCGGCGCCGCCGCGTGCGCCAGTCCCAGCGCCGCCGCCTGCGCCGCGCTCAGCCCGCCCGCCTCCTCCGCCGTCGCGTTACCTGTACAAGCACTCATATTTAACTCACGATATTCAGTTTCAACTTTGCTCGTTTCGACCCATATGTGACATATTAGGAAACTGAATGACACAACAAAATAAAAAAAGACATGACTTTAAAACTTTCCTAATTAATCTGTCAGTGTAAATAACAATACAATAAATGGAGTAGCAGTACTTACCTCTCGGTAACATGACGGAGTGCGGGTAGTCTAGCAGGAGAAGCACGACGGCTGCATGACCTCCCTTGGCTGCTTCGATGAGCATAGTGGAGTTATCTTTCAGCTTGCGGAATGGATCCGCGTCGCACGCCAACAGAAACTTCACCACGTCCACATGTCCGCCCGCACAAGCCAGTGAAAGCGGCGTGTGATCGCCCAAAGCGGTCATGCGGTTTACGTCTGCACCCTATAGAAAAACGAACAATTCTCCTTAGTTCTCTTCATCAAATTAAGAATATTTGTATCCGACACGTACGCCACACGCATTAACAAAGACGGACCTTCCCGACGAGGAACTGCACAGTACAGACGTGTCCGGCGCGACAGGCCTTCATGAGCGGCGTGCGGCCGCCCTCGCTCTCGTGCTCGAGCTGCGCGCCCTCCCGCAGCAGGAGGTCGGCGACGTCGGTGTGTCCGTTCTCGCACGCGTACGTCAGCGCGGTGTCGCCCGTCTGCGTCTGCGCGTTCACGTCCGCGCCCGCCTTCAGCAGGTACCTGCGGGAAACACCACTCTCTTAATCTTGTTCGATTCACGTTACACTACTGCAGATATCTTTTTAATACTAAGTTTAAGTATACAAGCGTCAGAAAAAATGTACTGACCGCACGAGCTCAAGGTGTCCCTCTTGAGAAGCTTCCATAAGTGGTGTGGAGGCTCCTAGCTCGGCGTCGGCGCCCGCCTTGATGAGAAAGTCGGCCACTTCGAGGAATCCGCCGCAACACGCCAGTGTTAATGCAGTCTCTTGAGTTTCTTCTGTTTGCGCGTTGATCGATGCTCCCTGACCCAGTAGTAATGCCACCATTTCCTCATGACCTGAGTTGAAAAAATAATGTATTAATTTTAGTTTATAAAGCGCTGGTATAACTGAACCAAAGTATTTAGGAGATACATTCTCAAATAAAGGAACATTTTTTTTTATTGATAATAATGTATTATTTACACAACAATATATTATTGTGATATTGTCTAACTTATAAATAAATAAAATTGTAGTATCTGTTTGTAATATTGAACTAACCGCTTTGTACTACACGCATAATGCATATGAATATAGTAATATACATATGGTGCATGATACCAAAGTAACACTTATTATAATTTTTATCGGTCTGTTTGTACTGGTTTATTATTTTAGAAAAACGCAGACGAAGTTGCGGATTCAGCTAGTATTTAAATAAGGTTCAGGTTAGTGATACAATAAATTCTTAACAAGTACCTTCTCTAGCGGCTTCCATGAGTGGAGTGTAGCCTTCGTCGTTCACTTCCTCAATATTAGCTCCTCGTTCTAGAAGTAACATTGCTAGTTCAACATGGCCACCGCATGCCGCCAAAGTCAGCGGTGATTCGAAACTGTCTGTCGGCATGTTAACCTGTGCAAACAAGAAAAAAACGTGTAATAATTTATGCAGGTCTATGTGACTAGTCACTGTCGTATGTCGGCTGGTATAGAGCGTAGTTACTTGTGCGCCGGAGTCCAGCAGTAGCCGGGCGACCTCGACGTGTCCGTCCATGCTGGCCTCCATGAGCGCGGTGTGCATCTCGTCGGTCTTGTGCTCGCGGTCGGCGCCGGCCGCCAGCAGGAAGCGGACCATGTCCAGGTGGCCCTTGTAGCACGCCAGTGTCAGCGCTGACTCCTTGAACTCGTTCGAGTGTGTGTTGATGCCCGCGCCGTGCTCCAGGAGGATCTTGGCCACACCCACGTGACCCGCAGACGCCGCCTAGACGTAGCGGCAATACATTATTATAATTCGTTAGATTAGAATCGTGGAAACTGGTGGAGTTAAGTGAGAAGAAGTGATTGTATTATGATCAGGAAGTAAATTAAAATGTATTAATACAATAGGTCTTCAGGCTCGTCGTGGGGTAAGTTCTTCTTCGAAAGTACAAATTTATATACATGACAGGTATGATAGTTATAGTGATTTAAAGTGAGGTACCTCCATGAGAGGCGTGTGTCCGTTCTCGTTGTGGTCCTCGACGTTGGCGCCGCTCTCCAGTAGCGCGCGCACGCACTCCTCGTGTCCGCCGGCGCAGGCGTACATGAGCGGCGTGTTGCCGGAGCCCGACACGGCGTTGACGTCGGCGTGGTGCGCGATCAGTAGTCGCACGATGTCCACGTGGCCCGCGCTCGCTGCCTCCATCAGCGGGGTGCAGTCACCCTGCACGGACGCGGTACTTGTACATGTTCACGGACACTTCATTTATACTGCGACGGTTACGATCGTAGCTTGGATAGCGTACCTTGATGCCGCGGTCCTCTACGCTGGCGTGCATGGCTAGCAACACCTGCGCGAGCTCGTAGTATCCCGCGGAGCATGCGAGCGAGAGTAGCGACTCTCCTTCCTCTGTAGTCTCGTGCACGGAGCGGCCCTCGGTGAGCAGTTTTCTGACGGTGCCCACGTCGCCGTCCGAACAAGCTTCCGCTAGCGATGGCGCGCCGTCCGCGCCGACCGACGACGCTACCGTAGGTGTTGTTCCCGTTGCACTCGACCCGCATTGTTGACTAAAACTAACACCGTGACAGAATATCAACGCTCGAAAAGCAAAATACAAAAGTATTATTAATAGAATAAATCAGATAAGATCAAAGCTTAACGAATCATTGTCTCGAAACGGTCTCATCTAGTCAACAGTATCAACTAGAGAGGCTTCCCGCTCGTACGACTGACTCAATTCTCGGATGGTCATCATTAAAATTAAACAAAAATTATAAATAAATTATTGTGAACACGAATACATACACAAACAAAACTAGTAATGTTTTTGATAAGTTAAATATATACGCAATCTTAATTGTTTGTAGAAGTACATTACACGTGTGGTATAGACGCAGTATTCTGGTTAACGGTAAATTATTGATGGCAATGCATTAGAGCTTTCAATCGATATATAATTGGTATTAGTGGACTCGAAGCGAGTCACCGTGGTATCATTATTTTTTATTCATAAAATTGTGTAGAAATATGTGGCTTCTGTTTTTAAGAAAACATAATGTGCAAATTAAACATAATATTAGGTTTGTTGAAAAATAACGTTCAAGTGGAATCTAAGTTACGACTTACAACGGAGTAGTACGCAAAACATTCATAGGACAGTCTGCATGCTGTGTTAGCCTATAAGTGATTATTATACTCGCACATGTGTTATATCTTTTATTAACAGTAATGAAAAAGTGTAATAATTGTTGGCTAACCTATTTAAATAAATAAATAACGGTAACGGGGCCGAAGCTCGAGATTTGTCATAAATAAATAAAATTTTAAATTGTTTATACATACAAAGAAATTACAATTACCTACGTAAGAGAGAAAATCGGGTTTCAAAATGTTAGAAATAGAGTCAAATCTATAAATTTATAAACCGTAAAGGATAACATTGTCACATAAAAGTACGTAGTACGTCCGCCAAATGTTAAACATGCGTACTCTAACCCGCATCGTCGAGACACCGAGCATTCTTTAACTGTTGACACGGTAATACGTGTGTCATGTGTAAAACGTGAAAAGCTGCCATATAAGTATTAGGTATGCATAATTGCGCACGTCTCAATGTGCTTTTAGCAGCCGTTGGCTGAACTTAACTCACTGGTTTACAAATGTAAATATAGTGCAGAACTTCAATGCCTCAAGAAACAATTGGGGAGGAAGTGTACATTTTATGAACGTAACTAAAACTGAATCACTTTGTATTAGAATTTGAATAAACCAGAAACTATCACTCACAATGTTATTTTTACATGAGTGTCCTACTTTGCAGTTCCACACTTCACCTTTTAAAGGCAACTAGGCTATATGTATATCCACTGCTGCGACGAAATTAGGGCAGGTCGTCTAAAAGAATTGCTGCTTGAGTATTCCAGGTTAATATCATTGACGTTCCCTGAGCCCAGGCGTCTAAGAATAGCCGTTACACTTTTAATTTGGTTGTGAAACTTAAAGCGTTTATACAAGTAGTGCTTAATCAAAGCTCATTGTTTAGTACAATTTAGTGTTCGAGACTCGAGTAGTACTGTCTACTCTGTCTAGCACTAGACACAAGGGCGGTCTAGACAAGGATTTATGTAACACATGTGATTAGTTGCCTCGTACTATTGGATGATTCACACGGTGAACTTCGCCAGTCAACATGTTACAATGAAAACATACGGACAAGAATCCGCGCTTTAAATATTAGTGGATGATAACGAAATCAAAGTGACTTTTCATTTGGTTGTGCAATATTAGTTGCGTTACAATGTAGTCGATATACCCATTATACTCATTTACGTTAGTGCTTATTTTTTCCAAGAAAAGTTTGAAATAGCTTTAGGTAGAGTAGGTAGGATGGTAACTAGTTCATACTTTTTGTCCTGATGGTGGTGTCGGTGGTGTGGTGGTGGCTGGTCGCTGCGCATGCGTGTGAGCGCGGCGGCCGCCTCGTCGAGCGCGCACGACACCGACGACGTCAACCGCCGAAGCACCTCCGGGTCGGCGAGGTGCTTGCCCTCACCGGATAGCTTGCCGATGCCTGCACACAAAAATGCACACCTTAACGATTGCTTTCATTATGCAAAACATTGTCATTCATTCGTCAAAAACAAGTTACTTCATCGATTGTGTAAAACCTCAATCCTCTGAATAAAGTTTCAAGTCATGACACTTAAATGATAATGGTAACTATAATCCAAAGAGAAACCTTAAGTGCCCGAGATTACCATTAAAATTACATGATCAGCCGCCGGTTACAGATTGCAACGCAATCAATGGTTGTGTCCACTGCAGTCTGGTGCACTGCATGTCTAATCTAAGGCAAGGCTCCATGTACTATGAAAATATGTCTACTAGTATAATGAGAAAATGTTAAATAAGGAGGAGTCTGAAATCTGAATTAGAGATTTTTTTCAGTAAAATGTCTTTATTTCTTACATTTCATATAGAGCGAATCTAGGTACCAAGCAGTCTTACACAAAATTTTACAAAAGTTATTTCAATATTTAATACAATTTATCAAATGAAAAGAACAATCATCAAGTTGTACATATCAATACAACTTTGCAATGTTTCTTTTGCTACTGCCGAACACACGCAGAAGGTGGTAAAATATGAAATGCATTACACGGCCCTTATAAGCTAAGAATAACAACACATTCCATTCCCTCTAATTAGGATACACGTATGACGTCACGCGACACTTTCCTCCGATCAATCAACGCATAAACAAAAGATCTATCGCAGCAGAATCTGTTATCTCACGCTCCTCGAGTACCACCTATCTACTCAAGCTAATAAGGCGTCAGATTGTTAAATATATAACTATTAAGTATTATGGATCGTGGGAGCTTTGATTAATGTTATTTACATTGCAATCCTTGTATTTTTTTATATGTAAACGTCGCGTACTGTTGACGGAACCTATGGCTAACTTTCTCTACAACCGAGCGATATGTTTATGAGATCGATTTACTAAATGACTTTACATTAAGCGATGCTGGCCACATGTGGTAGCATTTTTTATCATTAAAACTACAAAAGCACATGGATATATTTTAATGGCCATTGACATAATACCGTAAGTAACATAAAGTAATTCGTAAATTATCTGGCATGTGGGTATATTGTGCACGTTCTAAAGATTCTAGAGATACATAGTGTTAATCAAACTTGTAACAACATGGATATAATCAAACTTGTAACAACTCGTACTTTTAACTCGTCGAGTACCGGTTTTGTAGACACAATTATAGAACAATAGGTTGCGGTCACCGGTGACCGCTTGGTGTTCGACAGTTTAACATAAAGAAGTCAAAGCTCTCGCCATGTTATCTGAATAAGTTGTGTATATATAAGAAGAACAAGAAAATTTGTTAAATAATTTCTTATGAAACAAGTCGATAACTACATAAACAACACCCACTTATTTTCAGCATCTTGCAATCTAACAAAAAATAACTTTTAGAAGTTAATAGGGATGTCTTGGTTCATAACATATGGCATAGTTTTATGAATAATCCCGTCTTTCATGTCCGCAGACATCAAAGCCCTGTAATATTTGGTGCTTACCGTTATCACGCGGGACGGAATATGCGATCCCCTAATTTAGGAGTCAAACAATCAGACAGTTGTCTGTAAATGAATACTGTATGAACTGACAAACGGAAGTAATCATAACTGTTGCCGGTTTGAGCAGATTCCATAATATGAATATACAATTTGATTTTTCATGTAACTGTATAAAAACTATTAATAAGTTCACAAGATATTGTTTTTGTGAATTGTTCGCCTTCAAGGAATTCAATGGAGTATAAGATCGCACAATGGGGGGCTAAAGGAATGTTACATATTTCATTCAACATCAGTCTATCGTGGAAGTTTCTCACTTCTCTTGATATCCAATTGATGTCTTACTGTGACTGATCGCTTTAAATGACGATAACTACCTACGCGCTTTTAGACCAATCAATTACTAAAACATAAAATATTTCGTGTTTTAAGCAAGTCTTAATGCCTGAAGTGCTTAAAACAACGGCGCATTTGAATAGCACACATCCCGCGTGTTCTGTTTCCCTTTGTGCGCCGCGCCGTCATCAGGGAGATCTTTTTCCGCGGCTGTTCGTGCATAAGTTACGTCACAAGCCGCAGTACTTGGGCAGTAGACTCAACTGGCGACTGCCCGCCATACTACTGTAATGAGATGCGAAATGACAAGTCTTCGTATTTGCAACAGAACAATACACCGCTCTTAGTACTTTTCCTAAATTACTATGAACTTACTTTGTAAGAAATCCTGACCTCCATACTATGGGTTAATAAGTCACATAGTTATGTATGCAACTTGTACTTAGTGTATTTTTATAATATAATATTAGGTTTATCGACAAGGACATTCCAGTTATTTGAGAAATTCTATTTGCTCAAGGGCGTTAAAACAAACGGCGATTTATTTCAACAATATTCGTATTACAATTTATAGCTAGCTATGAGCAGTTTATGTTTAGCAAATTTTTTATACTTTATATTATGCACTTATACGGAAATCGACAAGGCGTAAAATAACCATGTGGGCAGCTTCATAATATATGCAGAGGTGTGTAAAGTTTTGCTTTTAAATTCTTTCTTTGGCAGCTATGTACACAAGGTCGTATCCAAGTACAGTCTTTATTGTAGCCGCCATTATAAATATCTACTACGGGCTTGATTATCGCCCTAAATCTTGTTCACGATTAATCTATAGACCCTGTCACAAATGAAAATAGTCAATACAATCTAGAAAACGAAGTATTTTCGTGTTCGTTGCAGAATAACGAAAGTTATCGATTTATTAAATACTTACTCAGACAAATAGTGAATGCAGCTATGTGTGCGAAGAGGTCAAGGCGGGTTGTGCTTTATTTCACTAGTCACACTGACGCCCATTATTTGCTAATATTTCGTAGTTCTAACGCGATGTACTGAATGACATTCTTAATCTAATTTAGTTCTTCAAAGGAACTAGACTGGATGTTCTGTTTTTATTCGTTTTGTACATTAAAATATTAATGAAATCTCTGATAACGCGCATAGTAAATAATGATAAACGGTACAATATTTATTAATGCATTAAGTTATTATTGTTTCCAATCTAAATAAATCGATTTTGGTGAATCAGAGTTAATTTGTTATCAATGCAATGACATAAGATCAACAACTATATAGATATTTCTATAAAGATAACCAAAACTTCTACTAAAACCTAATACCGTAAAAAATTTAACTGATATTAAATTAGCACAAAAAAGCACAAAGCGCCACATTACTAAGCTACATACTTTTCTAGCACATAATTTACAATTTAATGAATGTATTGTATTGTATTGTATCAAACGCGACTGTTTACGAAACAGATAATGCTCGGATCATTACCATCTGGTCGCCGCGTCCAAAGCAGTAGTGTAGCGCTAACGCCAAACTAAATAGGTACGCCATACGAGAATAAAATGCGTGCCTGAAGCTTATCAAATCGCTATGGGGCACTGTTGATGGTGTGCCGCGCGAGTAGCAGACGCAGTGATGATGACGTTTACGAATGTATTAAGTAAATATTTCTGCGACGATCAGTTGGATGTGGTTTATCGTGCGACACTAGTGCTTAATGTAACGAAGCTACCATTACTATAATCGAACCAACTGTATATTAATTTGTTTAGTTACAATAAATTTTAATGTAATCAAGATAATGATAATATGGAAATAAATATTTTTATATGCATACTTAATTTGCATACCAATTAAGTATGCAATCAATGTAATATTATATCAATGTAGAGCTATTATAATCAAGTCGCTATGGCTATGACATTAGACCAAACAGTGTATTCCTATTCCTAAAGTTACGCTTCTGCTAACAAGTGACGTTGCACATTTCGGATCTCTAGGCGTCGCGTCGCGTCGTAGTAAGACGTGAGACGGTGCGTTGGAAATCGTAATCGAGTTTAATTCATGCAAATATCTCTTTGTAAATTAGAATAAGAAGGAAATAACTTTCATTAGTATGTTACGACTTAGTTCTCATACAACTAGGTAATGGTTTGCTTAAATATTTCAGATAAGTGTACTTACTTATTCAGATTTATTTATTCACATTATGTGCATTAATTTATAGCTCTAAAGCAAAAAGTTATCGTCAAAAGCGAACTATTCATTAATTACAAACGAAAAGGGCAACAGAATATTCGAATATCTAATTTCAACATACATACAACAGTTGACGTTAGACTATATTTATAGTTTTAAATAAGTGGCTATGGTGTCTAAGGACGCTCAATTAATTACGGACGCGGGTCGAGCATGTCACGCGTGTGTCAACACAAGCAGTTGCACATAGATAAGTTTAAGTACCGCGCCACGTAATTTACTTAAACCGGTAGTGGTAACTAGCGAACAGCCGAACACTAACTTCCTGACTACTCGAATATGCATACCGTGACCGCGAAGATGTAGCTACGTAAGAGGAAAATTCCTTTTCTTGATATCTACATCAGAACATTACTCTTTAAATATCATAGGGATGGAACATCTATGACTGAACCTTTTGTAATGTGAAACTTGATCATCAGAATAAAAGTACATTACATTCGAGTATTGGTAATGATTTAAAGAAAACATACTATGAAGTACTAATACAAAGACAATCAATATTGTTATTCTTTTTAATATTATTTTTTTATGTCACTTCCAAGTGTGGATGATTTAATTCATTGGTATACTATTGAAAAGGCCTATGTCCATTAGAGGATGGAAGCAAACTGACGATGATGGTAACTAATATGTCTTCAATCAATTTTATTAAATATTTAATTCATAAATGTGTGTCTCCTTTGTACAAGGGTACAATGATCACATCAACATATCTCAACATGTAAACTATTGTGTACATGTGACATTATTGTTTGTTTACATACTGCTCGAATAATATATACAGTTCATTGACCCCAGATTGGGATATCTTCCAATTGGAAGAAATTAAACCATTTCCAAAAATGTCATAGGTTTATTACTCTGGAAATGTAATGTGGATCAAATCTATTGCTGATATTATTTACCACATATTATAAAATAGGGTTCTAAGTTTCTCTGAAATAATATAATAGATAGATCATAAATTCATTATAGTGAGACATCAATATGTTGAGGTAAGGTTATTTGGAAGGGAAGACATTATTTTATTTGTTTTTTGATTTTGTTCAATAAAACAACAAAATATTGCAACAAATGAAGAGCAGATTGAAAATAACGAAATAGGGAAATTTTTCTCGGTTTACAATAAATGTGGTGTTTAATAATTATATTATTAACAAAGATTAAAAGAACAATGCTCACACAACATTAAAAAAATTACAATATTGATTCCAGGATAAATATGAGTATGTAAATTGAAATAAACAAAGGTTAAGGCCATTAGACATAGTAATTTATGATAATTAAAAACATTGATTCATAAACTGATCAACAGAACTAGCATTTATGTTGAAACATAGGTTAACTGTCATCTGTGTTTCTGAAGATAGTTATCAAACATATCACTATAACTATTCAAAGATGTCAAGAAATATAAGTACATATTCTTTATTCATATTGAAACAGTACTTATAAAATTTGTTACCTACAATACATACGTAACTTTAACAAGTAAAATGTATCACAGTTAATAGTACAACAATGACATACCCGCTGCTTCAAGCAAAGCTTCTAGCCGAGCCTGCATCTCTGGATCAACAGCCCGCTCAGGGTCATCGTGGGATAACAGGAACTTTGATGGCTCTGCACCACCACCTTCCTCTTCCATCTCCGCCTGATACACAAACAAGTCACAGGTTATCATTTATATTTTGAAATAAACTCTTCCAATTATTTTTATAAAGGACATCATTTAGAAATCTATGTAGTTACAATGTTTTTGTAAACATTGTAGTTGTTATTTGATCAGTTATCAATTCAAAGTAAACTAATAACAAAATATTTATTATAGGAATATCATTGTTTTCATATAAATCTTAACTTATATTCAGTATTTAATATTAATTATTTATTTCCATGGTTATCATTCAATAAAGCTGTTATTTTCATAGATTTTGTCTTTCAACACTATAAGCATTATAGGTTAGTTCAATTGTAGCACTAAAGTTCATTCATTTTAATTTGGTTTAGCACAATATCTAGTAAGATTTTTTTAGGTTATAAAATATATTAGTAATGTTAACATGAATTGGAAATGATGAGATTCAGATGGAAGAGACTAGTATGTTAGAATCACAAGGACCATTCAACATAAAGAAAACAAATATATGTGGTAATTGTCCATAGCACACACATTATGCAGGTTAACGGAAAGAGTCACTCAAACTGCAACAGCTATTGTTGTTGGTGAAGCTCTGGGCACTCAGTAATGTTGTCTTCGACTTACCAACAGGTCTGGCCTGCTAAGGCACAAACAAGCCAGCAAGATCTATAACACCAACGAGAAACATATGAGATCTACTGACAATGTGGTGCATAAGGACGTGTTTACAGCTAATTGTTACTGTCAATGGTCCTTGCAATTCACCAGTAACCGTAGTTTTTGCGCGAATATCACTAAACGTTTCGTACGACTTGGTCATTCGTGACGAAACAAAACATTCCATGATTGACGATATTTATGACGAATCCAATAGAAAATTATATAATTCGCACATTCATAGTAAAATAACGACACAAAAATCCATTATTCAGAGATTCACATCGACTGAATGCATGTGATTCGAGAAACATGGCCACCGCACATCAATTCTTATCCAAAACACAAATAGACAATGAAAACTCTCTTACGGCGGATTAGCCCTTACACATCGTAGAATTACAAAGAATCAATTGAATACTGTCTAGGAGCGGCTGGCATAAATAATTTCATGCATTACTCAGTAGTACGTATGTACTTATGACTTTCTGACGTTTTACGGAATATTTGGCAAGCGACGTACTCTATTCAGAATGTAAAATAGATTAGTCCGTTTCAGCGTGCTACGCACGATTTCAAGCAAATCTTTCTGCTAGAAGGGTAGTTTCGGTAATAGAAGAAACTGTATGGTTAGAGCAGACATGTACAAGATGTCCCTTGCAGTATTTAGAGCGGTACAGATAATCACATTCCCTCACTGCCACCGCCTCTGTCGAAAACAAAACACGTTTTACCTCCGACACAGAGTCATCCTCGCTTTCCGAAGAGTCCGTCATGTATTTGGCAGGCGCTCCTGAATACGTTTCGGTTTCAGATTTGGCCGGACTCGAAGCCGAACTTTGAGGAGTGGACGATTTTACCACATCAAGTTGCACATTCACCTTATCGATATTTCGGTTTTCAGACTGTCCAACATTCTGCATCTTTGTCCTAATCCAATATAACTTAATTAGTCTTTTAGTATCAACACTTTTTCTACGAAATTAACACGATCTTATATTACCAAACAAAATTTATTTCGTCATTTAGCCAGGTTGATACCCGCCATGTCTACTACTATGGCGAGGTTCCCGGATGCTTCAAGTAGGCTAACCAATTATCTCCCTCTGGTGTAGTAATTTTGAACTTTTCACGATGCCATCTACCACCAAGAATGCGAAACACTATGTATAGACAATATCTTTTCTTTTTTTGTACAGCACAAAAATGTAAACAGCCAGTTAATACGGACAGTATCTTAATAATAAATTAATATTTCAAATACTATTAATCATCATTGAGATCTTAGCGTCAGAAACCACTGAAGTTCTGATGTTTTTGATGTTTGAAATTCCATAAAACATAACTTATTAGTTGTTTATGGGTGTATTTTTAGCTACAATATTTTATTATTGATTTTTCACAATTATCTTTCATTTCTAAAACAACTTAAATAGTAAATATCAATACAATGAAATTAGACATTAAACTTTTATTTTAAATGGATATTTATTGTAATATATGTTTTCCATAAAATCAATTCATTTTTTAGTTTTGATAACACTGCGCTTTGTATTCAACCAATCAATTCATAGCTGAATTTTAATGAGATTGGTACCAACCAATCAAAAGAGAGCATGCAATGTGATTGACATTTTGACATTACATGAAATGTTACCACTTGAAATAAAATAGATAGCCGCGTGTTCCGGTGTCCTTTCATCCAACTTATGTATAGTCTGTGGTGATTTCATTATTTAATATTTATTGCAATGGCAACTTAAAATGTTGCCAAGGAAACACATAAAAAATGAAAATCTTTCACTTTGAATGAAAAACAAGGAAAATGAATGATGAAAATATTACCTATTGTAAATTCGTTTCAGTCTAAATGTATTTTTCATTATTTTCTATTTTTTACCGGTTGGAGTTGTATGAATAATATGTGAATAATGTAATAAATGAGTGTTATAGGGATCTATTGCTTTTGTAGGCATAAAGATCTAAATATGATTTAATATTTTTTTGTAAGAATATCAAGAAAATTGATTTTCTCTGAATGAAAAATATGGTTGTGGTGTTTTTGCATAATGTGGACTTGGAAATAAACTAAATAAAATGGCACGGGACGGTGACTTGCCTACTATTTTCAACCCAAAGCGAGTGCGCGCTCCTTCTGTGATAATAACAAGTGAAGAAGTGGAAAATGAAAGAGGTGGTGGTGATGGGGACAGGGATCGTCCGAATGGACCGCCGACGCCTTTGAGCCCTCGGGCTCCGCTTACTCCTCAAGCCTCCGTGTGCTCTGCGCCTCCACTGACTACACAGCCGTCACTGCAGCAGGCGTACAGTGAATCAGCCACCAGCAGTCAGGATGAAGAGCGTCAGTTGCGTGATAAGAAATGCCCTCGATCTTGTTGCTCAAAATTCGCCAAGAAGGTACTTTATAATTAGTTAACTTTTGATTTCAATATTCTTCAGATTTTCAAAACCATGCCCCAAAAATATTTACAGGATTATCTTATAAAGAAAAATCTAAATCAATTTAGATTTATCAAATGGTCTAGCTTAGGTTAAGAAAAATAGTTTGGAGTTATTAGTTAAAATTTGAATTAAAAAGTTAGCTTACAAAGTAATTTAAATCATCATCAGCCACAATATGTTCACTGAAAAGGCCTCGAAAAGGTTTGACTTGTGAATTCCAGTTTGGGTCACTGAGAATTTTAATGAAGTTGCTACCCATCCCTCTTGGAAGCTAGTTGCAGTGTTGGGATATAGATATTGCGTCTGAAAATTTAACTCGTTGAGTACCGTCATTATAGACACAATTAAAGAACAATAGGTTGCGGTCACCGGTGTCCTGGCGGTGTTTGACAGTTTAATACTATAGTCAGAATTTTAATTAGATTCCAGATTTGACAATAGCTACTGTCATTTTGTGAAATAATGATACCACATATAATAGTGTAGTGATGGACACAAAAATCGATAAACAATCAGTGTGTGTGTTTTATAATAAATGTTACAGAAAGTGACAGGATAGCGATAGCGATGATGGCGACAATTTATAAAATAACTTATTACCATAATACATCTATCTGTTTTATTTGTCATTTTCCTTCATGGTTACATTTTTTTAGTTATTTCACATACAATTATAAAAGAAAAGTCTCAGATCGTTAAGTAATCATAACATAACATAACATCACGCCTTTTATCCCGAAGGGGTAGGCAGAGGTGCACATTATGCCACTGTACAATGTAACACCCACTTTTCACTATTTATGTTACGAGTCCCATGTAATAGGGGGTGAGCCTATTGCCATATACCGGGCACAATTTCAGACTCCGTGCTACTACTGAGTTTTTTTTTAAACCCAGTAATACTTTGCCCGACCCGGGAATCGAACCCGAGACCCCTTGCTCGGCAGTCGCACTTGCGACCACTCGGCCAACGAGGCAGTCCGTTAAGTAATCGTCAGAACTAAATTATTATCGGTCAGAAATATTTAATTTCCTGATATCCTTAGTTTACGACAGTAAAATTACCTCTATAAACGAGAAGAATCGATCCAGAAATATTGCATTTCCATATCGAATAATTTCGCAACGTCACTATTTAGTACTTGTCATAACGTTGCAACACTGAAATTGTCAAATCTGGAATCGAATTAAAATTCCGAGTATAATACTATAAATTAAATTCTGAAGTCTAAAAACTTAAATGAATTTTCTGTTTATTGATTTCTATCAGTCTGCAAGATAATTTATATTTTTTGTTTTAGATATACTATGGTATTTGTGTAATGTTAACATTAACTGCCAGCTGGGTGACATCTACCCACTGCATTAAGCACATGTATCTTGAAGAGTATCCCCCAACCACCCACGGTATGGTTTACAGTACTGAGTCATCCCCTATGGTCAACAACTTTACTAGACATCACTCACATGTAAGTATTATCTTTGAAAATATCTTTACTGCTACTGAATCAGATTAGTTTTGGTTTGTGAAATAAAACCTTGTTTTAATAATCCTGGGTTGTTTCAGAATCTCTACAATGCACCATTTTTCACAGCATGGTTCTGCACTAACTGGTTGATATTATTTTACCCCCTGTATCTGATAGTAATGCTCATACATAACAAGTGTAAGTCTGCCAATGATATTGTGTTTGATGCCTTCAGTGATTTTAAGGAGAAAGGATTTACTTTTGGTAAGTGAAGTTAGTTTATTCTTATTATGTAATCATTCTGGTTTGTCTGAAAAACATTCATGAACCTGTCACATCCTCTTAATAAATTATTTAAGAGATGGATTACAAGTAACTCACCTCCTTATAAAAAACTAACCGACATGATAGCCCAAAGTTTATGAAATGAATCTGCAATCTGGCAATCCAACTAGAGCAGCTCAGGAGCACTATTTATATTAAGCATGTATTAGTAAAAATAATGTTCTTTCAACAGCACGATTCATAAGCCGATGTGGTCTGTTCTGTCTTCTGTGGACAGTTACAATCTACATGTACACTTATGCACTGAAGATCTTACTCTCCACTGATGTGATGGCACTTTTTGCTACCAATGTGTCATGCATCTATCTCCTGTCATGGGTCATACTACATGAACAGTTTGTTGGAGTCAGGGTGAGTGGAACTACAGTATACATTGTGTAGTTTGGTGCCTTGATATTGATACTAATAGTTGGTCATGGTGTACATACTCTAAGTAGGAAGTTTTAGTATTTTTCTAGCTAGTATATGAATACTTATAAGTAGAGGTTTTTTATGCCCATATGCTGAACTTGAACTGACATTAGTATTAAATGTAAATAGTCATGACATCATTTCCATATTCTATTATATCGCAAGTAGTGACACGAATCACGCGTAGCTGTGGCATACCGCACCCTAAAATCTACGGCGCGATTTAGTCACGGCCTATTTAGACTTTCATTGATAATAATCGCATTATTACCGTGGTTCCACACTAGAATTTTCTCCTGTTTCGTGGGTACATTTACAAACACAAAGAGTTGTTCCGTGCAGGAATCGAATCCAGCCACTGCGCCAACAGTGCAGTCAAACTAAGAAACACTCCTATAGAACAATATTATAATATAAAAATCGAAATCGTTTCCCAAGCTGGTGTTAAGGGACCGGCCTTCATGCATTTAGCCGGGTTTGGTTGCGTGTGTACATTTCACTATACGGCCGGAAATGGCGTCGTTTGTTCCTAACTTTTTCTTTATTTTCCATTTTTATAATCTTAAATCGTGGTCACGAATGTGCCCTTAGGCTCGTGTCGGTCGGATCTAGAACGAACATTAATTAAAGTCAATTAGCTACATCACGTTACTCTATAGTCGTTAACGTTGTAAGAAGATTGAAATAAAGTATATTATTATTATTGTAATCAAACAACTAACAACGGTTTCTTTTTGAATTGGATCTTCAATATACCTACTTCCTTCTTAACGTCAAGTGACGATGTGATGATTTTTTTTTTTAAAAAAACGTTGCCCCACACTAGGATTTTCTCCTGTGTCGTGGGTGCGTTTACAAACATACAAGTTCACATACACAATGACACCCAGACCCGAAACAACACTTTGTGGATCACACAAAGTGTTGTCCCGTGCGGGAATCGAACCCGCGACACGTTGCACGGCAGCCGGTTGCCCAGCCACCGCACCAACCGTGCAGTCGATTGACCAGATAATGATTTCTATAATATTTATTTCGGTTCGCCAGGCCAGATCAGAGCAGGCACACGGCAGGAGTGTGTTGTAGATTAAAAATTTCGTCGGGCCTCGTATTATCTTTTTTATCGAACCAAGTTCGATTTTCATGCAGCAGAATTATACGAATATTGAAATTATTTTTAGATCGTAGCAGCTATACTATGCGACACCGGTATAGCTTTACTGGCGTACATGGACGGGATCACAGGCAGCTCTACCCTAGGAGGAGTGGTGTTAGCGGCGTGTGCCGCTGCAGGGTTCGCCATATTCAGGGTAATACATACTGAGTGCAAACTTCTTAAGAACTTAATATGAGGTAGTGAATAGATTATACACAGAGTACATATGTATGCAATATAAAGATGTCATAACTTCATAATGTGCCTATTAAATGGATTTCGTCGATCGATCTTTTAATCGTATTTATACGACATACACAGGGAAGTTTCCTTAGCAGACGGCTAGACAATGACGACATACTTAAGGATGCATTTATAAACCATACTGTACATAACTGAAATAAGTATACACACAAAACACACTGGCTAGAATATTAGGTAGGCGTCACTTTTTTGTTAATTATCTGTAATCGGGCCTCCGGTAACCTATCACTCACACGACGCAACACAACGCAAGCGGTTTGTTTCACGTTGGTTTTCGGTGAGGTCGTTGTATCACTCCAGTCGAGCCGGCCCATTCGTGCCGAAGCATGGCTCCCCCACACTTTATATAACATTACACAAGGAAATTAGTTTTAAAGTAAAAAAGCCTGTCGAAAACGGCCTATCCGTTTGCGAGTTATGATGCCGCAAAACGTCACACAGACAACAGTTTGGCGTCAATATCATCTTTTACAAACTGACGTATGTTTCAATACCAGAATATTATGTGGCTTCAATTGTTCATTTGTACGCAAGTGTTAAGCTTCATTCTAAACATTTTCGGTGCAGGTGTTGTTCAGAAAAGTGATGGGTGACGTGAACTCTGGTCAGCGCGCCCTGTTCTTCTCTATTCTGGGCATTGTGAACGCGTCTCTCCTGTGGCCTCTCTGCCTCGCACTCTACCTCACCGGCTCCGAGATGTTGCCCTCTCACCGCATGCCTTGGATTTATCTGCTCGTTGCTAGTATTTCGTTGCTCAGTAAGTATTACAACATTTACAGTCAAAGTTATAAATCATTGCGTGTACTGTTGAACTAATTATATTTTCTCTTTTACAGTTTTCCACCTGGTGTTTCAGTTTGGCAATATCATCACATACAATATCTTTGTTTCACTCGCTCTTATTACCGCAGTCCCGGTTTCGGCAGGTAAATTGATCATTTATATTATTTTTTTGGATATTTAACGTAACTCGTATCTACTTATTTATTCATTTGTTTTGTAGCATTGGATGTGGTCCTGTATGGAGTACAGTTTGAGGGCATGAATCTCGCTGGTCTGATACTAATCGGGGTCGGCTTCTTCTTGGTCATGTTTCCGGACAACTGGCCTGATTACATCATGAGGCTTTTGAGGTGAGTGACTTGTATCTATTTTCGGATGTAGATTATACTTCCAGTTTCCAATAATACAAGATTTGTATTACCTTTGAATAATTTGATGTGCACCAGATGGAGCCGCAGTCGCAAACGGGGCAATAACGGCACGGGCCGCAACCGCGACGCCATGGACTACCGCACGGGCTACATACGGTCGCACCTGCGCTCCCCGTCCGGCCGCGTCAGGTGACCGCCCGAGCCGAGCCCCGCCACCTAGCAGCCGCTACTCGTGGTATCCTGCGCGGCCGGGTACTACGAGCACGCTGTTAGGAAGTCTGTCTAATGCACCGACAGGGGGCGCCGTTTGCACTCTTTTTGCCAGGAGGTCCGTATGTCCGTCACGTCTCATCAACACCTGTTTGTTCGAATATTACCATCAATAGTTCTCGGTTAGTGAAGAAAGACGCTGTGCCGAAGTGTTTTCTGAAGTGCGGTGACAGTTGTTCCATCTAGCATATTAATGTTTAGGTACTAGGGACTGTGTCGTGACTTATGACGGATAGATAATGTACTCTCAGTAAAAAGCCCTTAAAATGTGTGTTATTGATGTCTGCTGAAGGCAACTAAAAGTGAAATTATACCGGGTGTAGCAACTATTTGTATTTTCATGAAAACCATCTCAAATATGTTATCTTTATTTCACTTCTATTAATCTTAGCACAAAAGCTACTACAAACAATTACCTAAATCTATAATCAAAAGGGTGCTCTTTAACTGAGAGTGACGTACTTATACGGGCCTATGTCAGTTATGAAGGAGTTAAGCAAATCGATGGGACAATCACGAGGAAAATTTGAACTTTATTAGAAATCATCGATGCAATGAGTAAAATGTAATCGAAAATAATTTATTTCTCTACATTCTCTGTAGGAATAACAATAATGTGGTGGTATTATGTAGTAGATATATAAATGTTATATTGTGTACCTATGATTACTATGTGCTGTATACTTTTCAAGATTACGGATTCTTCTCGCGATGTCAAAGCGTCATATATCTCGTTCTGCCAACTGACTTCTTTCCGCTGGCAAATAGAGCTCAGATCACGCCCCAAGATACAATCGATCGATATTATCTAAAACATTTTCGCTTAGACTAGTGGTTACGTAGCTTCGTGTACGTCTCGACACGTTAGAAAATCAATTCACGTTCGAAGTTTGCGCGAATATAAAATTCATGAGTTTTGTTGTTTTTATGATGATATCTGATGTCGCGCTCGGCTAGTATTCAATCCCAGTATTGATTCAGCGTTTGTAGGCTGCCACTGTAGTGACCGTCTACACAACTTGTGGAGCTAGCCTTAGATTGTATGACAAATAAAATCTGATATTTCTTTTATGGAAACAAAGATAAAAATGTATTTGATACATTTAGTAAAGCGCAAACTTCTAGTATATTAGTTAAATTACATTCCAATTCATTTCCTATTTGAAGATGTCCATTTCAATATGTACAAGATGCAAGAACTATAATTATCTATATAGAACATTCTTCCTCATCTTAGCACTTTGTTTCCTAGTCTACTTCAGTTGTAACTATACATATAACTTGGCACTCCTAATTCTTATCTTATGGTACTTGCATACTTATCTCGGTGTTGTGATCCACCCGTAGGTTTAGTGTAGGTTAAGGACCAGTTAAAGGTATGAGAAATAAACGGAATACTGTGTACGGAACAAATCAATACATCGTTAGTAAAAATTGAAGACTTTGTAAAATTTTCCGTTAGTTTCATTGGTGACAATAATAATGTAGAAACCGCTATTTATAATAATATTTATGAATCTATCGGCGAAATGTTGATTTTCTTTCATACCTTTATTGGTCCTCGGGAATGGCTTCCGAATTTGTAACTTATTACTTGATCTCAAAGAATCTAGTCAAATATTATAGTCAGGGTAAATTATATACTTAGAAATAACAATAATTTTGTATAACTATGAAGGCGATCATGTCGAAATGTAGCCGAACGATGCTAAATCGCTTAAAAGGGTATATCGCGTGCTATGTGCAACTGTAGGAAATTGTGTGGGGAATCGTTCATAGTCAATATTTCAAATGCATTGGACAGCCTATTAATACAAGTTGTATTTTGTCATAACTTCAATCTTCTAAGAATATATCCTTGACATTGATATACAATAGGTGGACACTACAGGCTGTTCAGTTAACAGACCGAAGACAATCAACTAAATTAATATACAATCTTGAACTTTATCGCCTTTAACACTCGTTCCATTCTCTACGTTTCCCTGTATAAAATAAGTATTACAATACAACCGCCCCAATGTAGTGTTAATTCATATTATATCGTAGCACTTTAATAAATATTATCGTACCTATGCAATGGATGGACGTAGAGGTCGTAGAGTAGTGAATAGTGACACGTTGTCCGTATTCGGATATTTTATAGATGAGTTATTACTTTTGTATTATGTGATTCAAGAGTGAGCTTACTGCTGTTCAGTTATGCCAACATTACCATGTCTTCATTCTTTCATTGATCTGAATACACAATTTATTTAATGAGATGATACTGTTGGTATAACTGGGTATGGTTGTCGATGATTAAAAAGCCGGTCCTTTGATTGTCATACATAACCGCGGGTGCATATAAGAAGAAATGTTAGTACATAGCAGATTTATTCCGATCATCTAAAGAACACCTTTCCACTATAAATAAATGCTACAAACTTGTTATAATAAGTAGCAATTCTAAAGAGTAGTCACACATTTTTACCTGTGTGCGTAGAGATGTGTAAAATACCATAGAATTGAAACGACTTGACGTCATTGTGGTGATTGCGCTACGGTCAAGTTGTCGTGGTTATACTTACATGCGCTCACGATTGACGCATTTCAGAACTATTACGTCGATATATTGATTGTGGTCTCGTTTACATGTTACTTCATGACGATTGATTGATAAGCTGATTCGATACACGTTGCATAAGTGCAAGCCTGACCTAATGACGAAAGCAATAGTGACGTACTTAAATGCATATTTCATATACCTCTTCGATATTTGAAACGATGGCTAATTGAGTTATTGTTTATTATAGAGATACTCTTTTATTGTCTCATCTGAAATCTAATTTTTTAAAGTTAATATACTATTTTACAAATATCTAGTAGCCTTGCTGTATTACCTTTATTGTTAATTGAAATATAAACAATTGGTACGGTAACGTACAATGGTAACATGTAAACAAGACATTGGTTATTTATAACTTGTAATTGTAGATTCAGAAAGTAATTCATTCAAGTACATCTACCAATGACATTTATAACATTGAAATTAACACAATAATAATTAATGTTAACTACGGTGTTGAATGGTTTCTTTTTTATAGTTACGTGCCTTTACGAAGTTGAAGCGTAATATGTACCCTTTGTTAGTTGTTGATATTTGTTAGTGTACTCGTTATTGTTTCATGTTTATTATTCATATAGAAATTTCTCAATCGTCGATAGCGTTAAAGCGCCATCTTATATATTATAGCCTTAGTGTCTTATCACGTGTTCCGGTTGCCGGGTAGCCGGCGGCGTAGTGTATACAAATTACGCCGGTACGCCGTACGTATTAAAGCTCTACGCCGTCGGGTACCCTGCAACCGGAACGTGTGAAAAGGCACTTATATTCTCTTTAATCCTACTTCAATATAAGTTATATGATACTCAAGTAGTGTATTCGTACTACCCCATGACTATCCCCTAGCGAAATATTTTATGTGTTGTACACCGTCGACGTCAGTGTGGTCGGTATTAGTTCGTTGTCTTTATGATTGTGTGAATGTATTTCGTATCGTCTTAGCTCAATGTGTCTGTTGTGACTGATGTTTTGTACCACGCTTATGTACTGTAGATACCTATATTATTTTTGTATCGTCTTCTTTATTTTAGATACTCGTAGTTCCGTGATTTGTATTCTAATTACGTAAATTGAAATAATTAAAAAAAAAATATTAAAATAAAAAATTAAACAAAGTTTTATAATTCGATCTCAAATTATTAATGATGTTAAACATTTTGTACATTGGTTATTGTTTCTACAGTCTTTATTGCTCGTTTTAATTGTAAAATTTTAAAGACTGAATTAAATGGAAGTTGACTAAAATTCAATTATGCAGTCATGGATGTTAGTCTAGTCGTTAGTTTATAGGTATTACTGAAGATAATGTTTAATTCGATTCGTAGGGTCGTGTTTATTGGTGTCTAGAGTTAGGAGGTAACTGAATACTTGTATTAGGACTCACGTGGTTACGAGTAGTGCAACCTTGTATGTGTGTCTTACATTAACTGCGAGTAGTGAACACGAGATAACACCTTGGCCCCTGTGATTCATTTTGTTAAATAAAAGTAGACGTAATTTGTTGGTCATGAAATAAAATTTGTCATAAAACTGTTGTTTCATTCACTGTACCTAATTCCGACCTTACAGTCCTACACTTCACTTCAACTAATAAATTACACACATTTTACATTGACTAAAAGCCAGTCTTGTTTTATTGTGATCAATCACATTGTAAAAAATATACAGTAATGAAAACATCTTCAGTTACACAATTAAAACACAATATTAACCTAAATTTATCTTACCCTTTGCTAAATTTCATTACATTCATGCATTTCATTAAGATTCTCAATAGATCCTAGTGTTTAGTCACATAATGCATATTCAATTCACTTAAATATTACTGCAGACTCGGTCCCACCGCCAGATGGTGCCGTCATCGCAGCAGGTCAACAGGATCTTGCCGTTGCGGGAAAGCGTCACCTGAATAAATAATGATGGAATTTTGTGAACCTATATTGAAATATGAACACAGCTGTAGAAAGAAGTGTTAAATTGTTATATGATTTGTACTATTTAAAATATTATTTTTTAGACTGATACATAATAGAACTTGTGTAAAGTATAGATCTTACCTGTCTGACAGCGGCTACACATCTTGGATGCACCAGTTGAGAGACACGCGAACCCCCGGCCACATTGCCAAGCTCCCATACCATTGTCTTACCGCATTGATTACCTAATGCTATCACCTGTAAGAGACATCTTACATGAATAAAATCTGAGAGACAATATAAAACAAGTCTATGATGACATAATAGAAAAGTAAAATGTGTCTCACCCTTTGACTATAGTCCACAGCAAATCGTATGAACCATATCTCACATTCCTTGTAGTCGAACCTGTGTACAATAGTGACCGAGTTGTCGCCAGGACGTAACTCCGTGTCTTCGAGACGACCAGGCTTCCAGCAGATTATTGCATTCTCACAGGACTGGAGTAAACAAAAGGTATAAATCAGATAAAAGAAACAAATGAAATAAAACACTGATGGTAGATTGGGAAGCACTTACTTTGGATAAAATGAGATCACCCATCCATCTAACACAGTCAACATAATTTCTATGAATGTCTCTAGTGGAAAAGTCTGGAAAATGTTCTTTCAAAGAATTAAAAGGCCTCAAAGCTCTGTGAGGATTGAAGCTGTAGCTTTGCTTTATAGCTTCATGCATTGATGGCTTGTCCAACCGCCATAGTTTGAGCGAGTGATCCATGCCACAAGACATTATTCTCTCTCCTTTGAGATCAAAATCTGCACTGAGGACTTCATCTCTGTGGCCTTCGACTCCACCGAATATAGCAATGCAAACATCTGTCATGATGTTCCACAGTCTTAATGCATGGTCCTTGCTTGCAGACAGCAATAAGTTAGGGTCTCTTGGGTGGAACTTGACTTCATTGATGGCGTGTCCATGACCAATGTAGTGCTTGATGCAGGTTTGTGTGGAAGGTTGGAAAATGCGTACAATACCGCGAGACCCAGCAACAGCCAGTAGAGGCAGGTTGCTTTCTTCCTCATATGACCATGCACATGTGTAGAATGTCTCATCAACCTGCAAGAGTTTATTCAATAAATTAAAAAAAAAATATGATAAAATACATAAATGATAAAGCAGCATTATACAGTTTGTTAGACTTATTTTTTTTAGACTAAAATAAACTTTGTGTAAATGTCTTCATTAGACTCTTATTATGGCCGAACATATCTATGTTTGGAATCTTCTAAAGATATACAACTACTCACATCTGGGTCAGCATAACACTGAAGAAATTTGAAGCCTCCGGAGTCAGGGCATTCATATATGGAGACTCTGTTGCTGCCAACGACAGCAAACACTTGCGGCTGTCCCTCACCCAAGTGGTGGTTGAACTGACATCCAAATAAGGGCTGACCATGGTCTTCTTTAGCACTACAACTGAAACATATTGGAAATAATTATTAGCTGCCTTCATTAGCTGCGGTCCTCCCACGGCATGGTTTTAATTCTTCTCTACATGAATCTTTCATTTACGAATATTTCTTAATCATTTTAATCCATATCCAATGAGCAAGTTCTCAGAGGTCAAGTACAGTTCAACTTATAAGATTTATACCACTTAGTTAAAGTATTCTAGTTATTCCTCATGGAAGACCACTTATTAAATATGTCCGTAATAACATATACCACTTTCATAGTTATTCCTCATGGATGATGTAAATTATTAAATGAACAAGTGTCATTAATATAACTGGGTCTCTATGTTCCAATAGCATTGAACTTCAGCTCAGTTTCAATTAGTAATTACTTTTAATTACTGGAATGACCAAGACTATTATTTGTCTTGTGTAGTATTTAGTTTCATAGTTTGAATTGCCCACTTATTGTTACTTAATACCAGTATGAACCAGTATTCGCTGTTATACTACAAAGGTTAGAAATGTTCTTGAACTAATTAGTAATTTGTTTACAAGTATACAGTAATTACCATGTTGCTAGCTAATAGAAAATTCTATTAGCTTGGTTTTTATTTCAGTCCATTCTATTGGTGTGGTATTTTTTTTTAGTCCTTTCTATAGGTGTGGTATTTTTTCAGTCCTTTCTATGGGTGTGGTATTTGTTTTTTTTTCAGATAATAAAGAAATTACTCCCGTTACTCACTTGAACTTATAAGGTGGTTTCACTTGTTTAGTAGTCTTCTTTTTGCCTCGTCTACGTTTCTTCACACGAGAATTTGTTGGAGTTTCGCTGCGTGAAGTATTATCTGTGTTCGAAGTACTTTCAACACTCGAAGTATCATCCTAAAATATATAATTCAAATAGTGGTAAGCCAATGACCTAAGCACAATGTCACAACAGTATTCATAACTACATGAAGAACATTTACAGTACAGAAACAAGGTAAACTTTGTTTCAACACAATCAAATTGTCGATTCACTTATCAACATGAATAAAAAGTTCTACTTACAGCCTCATTGTCCGAAAAATTCATGGCAGACAGTATGTTAAACGATTATTAAGTTTTAGAATGAACTTAAGCTTATTTCATACATATATTCCTATAAATTTTAATTAATACAAAATGAGATCGTTTATCAGCTGACAACGGCGTCGTGCAAACGTCACACAAATGTCAAATTTTCGCGGGAGCTTGTTGAACCATCGACTATAAATAGAGTAAGTTGCGTTCAAAAAAGTTGCGATTAACTTTTACTGAATGTTCAATTTTATTGAAATACTGAACGTGATGATTTTATATACATTACATTTGAGTGTTTTTATATTTGAGCGTGTATCTTCTTGACTTCTTCTATAAAAACAATAGCTGTGTACAACATTTCAATTTCAATAAGCATCACTTTTTAACCGACTTAAAAAAAAGGAGGAGGTTCTCGATTCGACCGTATAATTATATGGTTTTTTTTTATGTTTGTTCGCCGATATCTCCGTGAAACAAGTGAAACAAGTGAATTTATTTCTGCAAATAGGCTACAAGGCAGCACTTTTACACGTCAATTTTATCAAGCGAACGATGAGGTCGACATTTCCTAACTGACTACTCTGAGAAGAAATGCCGAAACAAACTCAGAGGTCTGTCTCTTTTAAAGTCCAGACAATATGTATAACAGATTATGTGTGAGAACCGTGCCAGTTCTTTCTGTAGTGGGCTTTTGAGGAAAGAACCACAACAGTTTGAGCGGACCCGTTCTGAAGGCAGTACGCATGTGTCGGTTTACAGTCAGCTCAATTAACAGGTGAGGCTGACTGATTCGACGAACAATACCAACCTAAAGAACATTTGCGTGGGTCGCACAAATACTCAAACTGTCAGAAAAAGGGTAATTAGAAAAGAAATGGTGAGGCAAAGTCTCGCACGGTCCTAGCACTAACAATTGTTAAATAAAAAGTAAATGTCAAGTTAGAACAACATATGAAAAACAATGTCACATTAAAACAATAATGTCAAATTGCATATAAAAAAA